GACCGGAGCCGCTGCAGAGCCCTGCGCTGAGTGGCGCGGGGCTGCTGCGATGGCTTCGGCAGCTGTGCAGCCGGCAGTGCCGGGGTTTGCCGGGACTGCCGCTCCGACCCGGTTTGCGGCAGAGCCGCCCCACCCGGGCTTGGGGAGTGGTGGCACGAGCACGGCAGCAGTGGGGGATGCTGGCTTCGTGCCGGCGCCCATGGCTACAGCTGAGACCGTGCCGTGCAGAGTGGCGGGTGGTGCTGCTGGAGCCGGGGACCGTTACAGAGCAGCACCGGCCCCGGGACCGTTACGGGGTGACCCCGCAGCAGGGAGGGTGCAACCGCCTTGCTCCTGCTGTGGGGCGGGGGTGGGGGTGCCTCTCCAGCCCGCGGCGGTTGCACAGTCAACGTGCGGAAAGAAAGTGGCAGCGGAGGCGCCGCCACCCCCAGGTTCAGGCGTTTCGCCGGGAAAGGGGGAGAATGACTATGACAGACAAATGGACAGCGAGCCTATAGAGGACACAGAAAGGGAAACAGCGTCAGGATCAGGCAGGGGTCCCTCCATAGATTTATGGGATAAATGCAGAAGTCAAGAGAATCTGCTAGCTCCCTTTAGATATGCGGCCGTGAGACCACCGCGGAGAGAGTGCGGGGACGCGGCTGGGCGGCCAGGGCTCGGGGCTAGGGCACCAACAGCAGCGGGGGCTGCGATGGGAGAGCAACGAACGGACTGCTGTTGTGGGGGTCAGGGCGGTCCACTAACCCCCTTCGGCTGCGCAGTGGCCATAAGACCACTGCAGAACAACCACACAGCAACATGGACACAGCCAACTTACTCCAGCAGTGAAGCAGAAGTGAGAGTGCCTCTTTTGTTACCACCAATTCAATCAACGCACAACAAATACACAACTGTTAAAACACCACCGTGGATCTCCTATCAAGAAACCAACCCACAACCCCTGCCAGCATCAGAACAACTTCTATGCCGAAGATGGCCTGATGGAGGAGGAAGGAGAAAATTCAATACCCGAAAAATCTTAGCCGACCTGTGGCAAACTGAACTCAGCGAGACAAGAGAACCAGAAAAAAGACAAGCAGTTTTGGATCCTGCAAAAGAGGAAGAACAGCAAACGTGGCTACAGCTACTACTTCAACTCGAGGAAGAGAACATCTGCCCGCCCAAGCCCAGACCATCAGCAAAGTCAAAGCTACCAATGTTGACGTGGACAATACGTGTACTGACTGCAATGCTGGCGATGACAGCTGTTGGTTTTGTACTGCGAGAATTTCAGCTGGGACAACACAATCCACCTACTGACAGAACCAACAATATAGAAGTAACATTGCAAAACACAGCAGGCATATGGCTATCAAGTACCGTGTTTAATTTTCTAAATCACAAAAGGGCAACTTTACTAATTGACAGATTATCTGCTATTATAAAAAGTTCTTTTGTGTTACAGGGGGTAAAAATAATAGCAATAAGAGGGGCCCCAAATCAAGTATTTGCTTCTCACTACTTTAAAATGCTGTTAGACAATATGCCATACACAACATGGAAAGCCAAACCTAAACAAGGAGCAAACAAACAACCAGTTACAATTTTAACTGCAGAAACACATAACTCTTTATACACAGTCACTGCAAGAGCTTTGATAAAGCAAAACAAACAAAACCCTCATACAACACAAGCCCAAAGATGCTCCACAAAGTTACAACATACAGCAATACACACCTCCAAATCCACCCAAAACACAAACATGCATAAATTGGCCTATACCCAAATTAAGCAATTAGAATGGGAGACAAAGACAAGAATGTCAAACATTTTTAGCAACAGAACAGATATAACCTCACAATGGGCCTTAAAAAACATCCAAACCTATTTAACAAGTTTTCTTAAACTAGCATCCCCAAAGCAAAACAGAGACATTATAACCAGCAATAACCCAGACATTAACTCTGTTTCCATTGGACCCACTGAAATCACTTATTCTGTAGAACAGAGACTGCCTCTGTTAAAGAGGAAGTCAATTAACAGCAGATTTTTCCCAAAGGCAGCTTTATTGCAGCTGAACCCACAAGTGACCCAAGAAACAGGTAACCTTAAATCAATAAAACAATGGCTTTTCCTTAAAACAGAGGCGATGCATTTACATACGCTATTAGAAAACCATATAAACACAGCCTCACTATGTACAAAAATCCTTTCACTAATCTGTCAATCTCCCAAACCTAAAGAAAGATGGGTTTTCATGCTTTTTACCCCTATCTCAGAGTTAGAAAAGAATGAAGTTTTTGAAAACCGAGATTTTATAACTTACTTTTTAGTTAAAGAAAGGGGTAAGAAACACTTCTTGCATGATTGCTTTTACAAAAAAGGAAATAATGTGTTGCCCCTTAAACATAATAACAATAGTTTACTGCTTAACAGCTGGGTGGAATTAGATTTTGTCATTTTCTACCACTATTCCTGTTCCTATATAAACTTTCCTGCTAATTCCTTGGCTAAACAAATAAGTGACTTACCTTTGGGTGAGGAAAATGACAAACAAGCCCCTCTCATCTCTCACTCAGAATCTCCTTTACTAACTATTCGCTCATACCACTGCATTTTACATTGTCAAGAAGGTACCAATGTTACTTGTAGCATTTGTAGTTTTTTGTTTTTGAATCGGTATTCTCAAAGGAAGTGTAAATTGTTTTCTTAACAATAAAAAAAAAAGAAAAAAAAAGAAAAAAAAAGAGCAGAAAATAGTTTAAAAACATTTACATATGGAATGAAGTTTAAAATCTCACCATCTTAAAACCCAATATATTCGTTAATTCATATTTTTTAAATATAAAACTGGCTGATACAAAACTTTCATTAAGCTTAGCAGTTTCATGTTGTTCTAACTATGATAAAGTATGCAAGATGAACCTCTTATCAATCAGCAAACAAAATTGCTACACATATTATAAAAACTGGAGCAATATAAACAATTTACTAGGGAGATAAATTTGAACTAAATAAATTCACCTATATACTGTTTCAGCATAAATTGCAGGCTGATTACCAATCAATTACTGAACTCAAGGTAAAGAAAAGGACTGGAAACCTTCTCTTTCATAGTATAAAAGGAGAGAAAAATTCTCTTTGTTGACTAAAAACCTTTGTAATTATCTTTCACGATGTAAATTAGTGTCATTTTAACCAAGAACATTTATCTCCACGAACTAGAACACTACAGCTTTAAAATTTTTCCCTATTTTTTCATTAATTTCACAGCAGCTTTTAAAATGAAAGTTATTAGAAGTTATTAAATTCTCAAATACATCCACATACATGCAATTATCTCAACAATGTTATTCAAATAATAAGTATAGAATCTTAAACATACATTCAAACATTCTCAAAACATTTTGCTATCACAAAACAACATACATAATGTCAACAAGAGTAAAAAATAGCTGCTTGTAAATCGCAACTACCTAAGAGACTGAATTAAACCTGGTTACAGTTGCTCTAACTGATGTTATTAGAAATGGAGACTGTAAAACGTTCCAGAAAAATTCAACAGGTCCAACAACGAAATCTCCAAAGAAAACTACAGAACAAAAGATTATTTTTAAAGCCTTCAGCCAAAAAGCAAAGACACTATGACATGGAGTGACTCACTGCTATTACTTCAAAAACTACAGATTCACCTGAACCTCGCATCTATTCTTGCCCACCTTTCATCTGAAATAGACTAAACTGTTATTAACATGTTTGCCAAGATTGTTTTTAAGGATAAAAAACGACTACAAGAAATGAACAAGACACTGAGACCATCTGCGTCTGGACAAACAAAGAAGGACAATTCAACAATAAGGTACAAACCTTGGGCCGGGACTCTATATAAGTGTTACAACTTACTCATGTACTTAGCACATTTAAGTTGCTTTGTAATTAAGCTATGAATATCATAATTGATTCATGCTATGCTACAAAGTTACTTTCACATCTCGAACCCTCCTTTCTTCGAGATTTCACTAACCTTCATTTACCTAGAAAAATACACATCACATAATTTGTTGTTAATCACACAAAATCTAACTTTTTCATAAGACACATCCATTCTCACACACTCCAAATAGAATAATACAACAACACACAAGAAAATGCTTCAAAGGCAAAAAAGAAGGGGGTCGGTGTATAACCCCCAGGAACACTTGTAAAAAACATCATATGTTCTAAATTTCTTAAACTGTGATGATGCAAACCATAACAGGTATGAATACTAACATAAAACTAAAATATTTTCTTCTTCCAAAACACCAGTTATGATTAAAAATTTAATATCTAAGCAATGATCAACACCAGTAGATCTCATAACTTGGGGGGAGATATATGCCTGTGTATCAAAGAGTACTAAATCACAAAGGATTCCTTCTAAATGTATCAGGCCTTATATTGGCCCTCCCCTTTAACAGAAACAATCACCAGAAAAAATGAGTGAAGAAATTGGATTAAAAGAAACATGACCAACAATAGTAAAAGGAACACACCACACATTGAGAAACATACTATAAAAACAAAAAAACAAAACAAAACAAAAAACCCCAAAAAACAACAAAAACCAACCAACCAAAAAAAAACCACAACAAAAAAAACCCACAAAAAAACCCAAAAAAAACCAAAAAAAAAAGGGGGGGGGAAGTGATATGGATCTAGTCCCCATGTGTGTAAATCTACATTAACATTTCTTTAAAACAGGGATAATCACAAAGAAGCAATAAATGATACAACAGAACCAAAAAGAAACACATAAACAGTAACCAATACAAAACCAAAACACCATGAGTCAAACACAATAAAGGGTTTAAGAATGCATGTGTGAGGAGAGAATGAAACGGTGGCCCCCGGAGTATGAATGAGAAAGTTGAGTGGATGCATGTATTGATGCGTGAACACAAGTACAACCCAACACATTTCCCTTTCAAATAGAGATGATGCCATTACACAAAGTCACCCTCAGATAAAAGGTTATACAGATCTTCAAACCCTGGGTAATTTGAGGTTGCTTGAATATTGCACGAACCAACAAAGTTGTAAATAGTTCAATAAAGGCCTTGTGACGATAGGCCCTGTTTTTTATAATTAGTTGAAATAAGATCGGTTATAATAAGAATGTTAAAAATGTATTGTTTCTCAACTTGTTAATAAAAAGAGGAGGGAGATGTGGCAGGAAGAGTGTAATAAAGAACCATGGGAGTTGTAGTCTTCTCATGCATGCTTAGATTGTCATTGGTTGGAAGATCACATGACATGTTAAGGCGCTGTATTTAAACTTAAACGTTGGAAATAAACGACAATTCTGCTCTGGCACTCGTCCGTGCCTGAGTGGGGTTCGTGCCCATGTACAACACCTCACCACGACTCTTTGTGTGCAGCCACACAGCCAGTTCTTCATTCACCAAGTAATCCATCCATCTAATCCATGTCTCTCCCATTTGGAGACAAGGATGTCATGTGGGACAGTGTCAAATGCTTTGCATAAGTCCAGGTAAATGAAGTCAGTTGCTCTGCCCTCACCAATGCTGTATCCCGTGTAACACCGTCAGGCATGATTTCCCCTTTGTAAAGCCATGTTGGCTGTTACCAATCACATCCTTGTTTTCCATGAGCTGTAGTGTAGTTTCCAGGAGAATCTGCTCCATGATCTTGGCTGGCACAGAGGTGAGACTGTAGTCTGTGAGGCCTGTAGTTCCCAAGGTCTTCTGTTTTCCCATTTTTAAATTGGGGATTATATTTCCCTTTTTCCAGTCATCAGGGACTTCACCTGACTGCCACAATTTTTAAAAAGTATGGATAGTGGCTTAGCAACTTTGTCTGCCAGCTCCCTCAGGTCCTGTGGATGAATCTCATCAGGTCCCATGGGCTGTGCACATTCTGGTTCCTTAGAAGGTCTTGAACCTGATCCTTTCCTGCAGTGGGCTTGGAGTCTTAATTCTCCCAGTCCCTGCATTTGTCCTTCTTGACTTGCATGGTGTGGCTGGAGCACTTGACATTGAAGATGTAGGTATAGAAATTGTTGAGAACCTCAGCCTTCTCTTTGTCCAGGGTAGGCAGATCTCCTGTTTTCTTCCAGAGAGGGCCCACATTATCCCTATCCCTTTTTTTTTTTTGTTTGCAACTTGTCTATAGAAGTCCTTTCCTGTTAACCGTAATATCCTTGGCCAAATTCAATTCTAGTTGGGTCTTGGTTTCCCTAATTTTATCCCTGTCTTCCTGTACAATTCCGCTGTACTTCTCCCAGGCCACCTGCCATTTTTACAGCTTCTTTTTGTACTCTGAGTTTGCTTGGCAGTTCCTTATCCTTCCACAGAGACAACCTGGCATTTTTGCTTGGTTTCCTCCCTGTTGGGATGCATTGCTCTGGAATTATGATTCTAAAATAAAATAATATTTTTTTCTTATTCTTATTTTTATCACTTATGATATATTAGTTAATTTAATAAAATTTAAAATATGTAACAGCTGCTATTTGAAGTGCTGTTTGAAAATAATTATAATTAAAATTTAATTCTCAGCTCTAACTTTTATATTAAAAGTAAAAATCAATTGCCTAGTAGAGAAATTAGTCCTTTTCTCTCTGTGGCAGCATTGAAAACAGATAAAAACTGGCAACTTGCACACGAAGCCATGAAATTGCTTCAGTAAACTTGAATAGACATGAGATTAAGTGCAAGTAGGAGCCAAATTATAAGTTTTGGAGTCAGATATTCAAAGAGTTTAGAAAAAAAGAACAAGAAGAATTGTGTCAAAACTTCTTCACAGAAATAAATATTTTCCTGTGAGGATTTTAAATAGTTAACCAAGTTAATTAATAAAGTTAATAAAAATATTTCTTTTTTTGATATTTTATTTTACACTTCTATATGTAAAATGTTAAATTACACTATACAGTCGATAGCTGAACTACAATTCAATCTCCTTTGACTTATAACAGAGCTCTGGCTTACTACATTCTTTAAAACTGATTTAAAACTGCCCTTAACTGTCTCTCACCAAAACATCAAAATTCTAACTGCAGCATAAAATCAAACAGGGGTCTATGTGCACATTCTGCATATAGATTGTAAATAGTTTTTATAAATATCTAGGGGTTTTTGTCTCCCTGTGGTGTACTGGAACTGGTCCAGTCCTGTCTAAAGCCTGCACTTATCATCAGTGTTGCTTCATCCTGGAGTTTGTCACAAAGCATTCACAATCACCTTCTTCATCCACTCTAGTTGTTTTTCTCTGAAGCATTATCATCATAATGCATCTAAATTTTAGTGACATTCATGTCCTTCTTTCTTTTCTCTTGCGTTCCCTTCCAATAGTCTTAGAGTGTACTCCAAGACTTAATTGAAAAAGGCCATAAGTACATTAATGCACTCAGGAACAGACATTGTGTTCCCAGCAGTACAGTGATAAGCACACTTATCAACTTGTTTCATAAAAGCACTGTCATAGGGATGCTTCATCTGTACAAAGTGTTCTTTTTGGATACGTGATTCAAACCTAAAAGCAGCACATAATGAACAGGCATGCAGTTAAAAAAACTAAAGCCTGTGGATGTTACCTTCTGAATGACAGGTCAGTGTCAGTATAAAACTTTTTTTCAACTTAGTATATAGATGGTAACATTAGGGACTTGACTCAGCTGACTAACTCAAATAAACCACTCAGCCCCAGATATCTATGCTTGGCAGAGAAAAAATAATTCTAAAAGTGCACATTTGGTATTTAAATTTGCAGTCTGCATTTTCTTCCAGGAACTTAGTATTATCATCTTCAACAACCACTTGTTAGAGGCAACAACAAGTTGCTGCTGTTGTTGTCTTCAACAACAACCGTCATCTCAACATTCATTTGTTCTTTATTTGATCTATAATTTCAAAGTTCATAGTTTTAAGCTTTTCTTCCTATCTATTTCTTTGATTTCATCTTCTATTAAAAAAAAAAAAAGCTGAAAAGTTGAAAGGTATACTATGGTACAAGAGCCAGCACTTTAAAACAACCAGTCAATAATTTGAAGTGGGACAGAGCAAAGTAAATTTTGGAGGCTGTCATGGGTGGGAGTGGAAGTTTCAAACAAAAAGTTTATTAGAAAAGCCCTTCTGTTGAGTCATGAGGTGCACAAAAGATCCTCTTGCGCTCCTCAGAGAGGAGTCTGAATCCAATTGCAGCTGAATCCAATATTAGCTCCAGACTGTCAACAGCTTAAGTCTGAAGAATTATAGAGGTGTGTTTGAACTTTCATAAAACTGTCTTGCAGGGTTAGAGATGGAAAATCAGATCTATTTACATAAAATGAATTATTTATTATGAAAAATGATTAGACAAAAAGGTCTGTATCAGAATTATTTATTACACAGTATAGAAGCTAAAACTATTAGTATAGTATGATATAGTATAGTGCTCTATATCAAAGCAGTTATATTAAAGTAACTATATTAAAGCTATCCAAAAAGAAAGAAACAGTTATTAAATACCCATACCTATGACCTTGGGCATATCTCTTTCATTCAGCCTTGAGGAGTACTCTTGAGGGGCATCCCTCTCAAGGGAGATCTCCATACATACTCTAAGAAAGAGCGTGTTAGAAGAACCTACTGGATGAAAGTGGACTGGACTTTTATAATGTAAAGTGATTGACTGCCAGTCATATGTCTCCACATTATCTCCAGTCCAGTTGTGTCAGTTTATCAGCCAAATCTTTGCCTCACTGTCAGGATATTAATGTTGGGGTTGATGTGTCAGACTGGTTTTAACATAATTCATCACAAAAAGCAGTATGATATATCCTCTCTCAGTCCACCACTGTAGCCTTGAAAATAGGGCATTTTTGAGTTGCTTGACCTCACTCCCACGGCAAAGTATGCTGTTACAGAGGCTTGTGCTTCACAGAGACAAATTACTTTTTGGAGCTCTCTCTCTGCATACATTGCTTGTAGAGACATGTTAAATGCCCCATTTTAGACAGCAAAAACTTATTGAGATACATCACATCTACTTGCAAGCAGATCTATACGTGTTTGACTCAGAATCTTTCAGGCTACTGTTGTAGTGGGTTTTTGTTTCTTTCTTTTTGAAGATTTAAAAAAAGTATTTAATAAAATGCATAAAATTTTCAAAACACTTAAATGCCTGCAAAAGTTTTCTGACATTTAGAGAATCATAGGTCTTTAATGCTTCCAATTCTTTGTCCACTCAACAGTGTTTTTCTACTTCAAGCTTTCTTTCCATTTCTCCTCTCTAAAATGGGGAGCTTGTTCCCGAGTTGGTATCTTTCTTACTGTTCTTTTGTTATTTGATAAACCTAAAAACTCCAAATCAAACAAAAAAAATGCAACCAACAGTATAATTAATAATTACGAACAAAAATATTTCACAGTTTTTATTCACTACTTAACAATAAAGAACTTCTGTACATTAACTGACATGATGGTTACTGTGTTAACATCTATGTAGGGAAAATAATTATTTCATGCAATTTTGAGTCTATTCGCTTTGAGACTCAACAACAGCAATGTCATAAATGCATTATTGCATGCTGGTTTTGATGAATTTTGATATCTGTGGTTGTGTCAATTTCAGCAAAGAATCACAAAATCACAGAATGGGTAAGGTTGGTAGGGACTACAGTGGGTCACCTGATCCAACCTCCCTGCTCAAGCAGGGTCATCCTAGAGTACACAGCATAGTATTGCATCCAGACAGTTCTTGATTATCTCCAGTGAGGGAGACTCCATAACCTCTCTGGGCAACCTGTTCCAGTGTGTGGTCACTCACACAATAAAAAGACATTCTTCCTCTTCTTGTGAGGCATATTCAGGTGTAATTTCCTGTGCATCACTTTCTCTCCATTGTCTCTTGTTCTATTGCTCAGAACTACCAGGAAGAGCCTGACTGCATCCTCTCAACACCCTCCCTTCAGATACTATAGACATTATTGTGGTCCACTCTCTGTTATCTCTTCCTGAGGCTCAACGGGCCCAATTCTCACAGCCTATACCCATAAGAGAGATGCTCCAGTACCTTAATCATATCTGTTGCCCTTCACTGGATGCCTCCAGGAACTCCATGTCTCACTTGTACTGAGGAGCCCAGAACTGGACAGAGTACTCCAGACGCGGCCTCATAGGGCTAAGAAGAGGGTCAGGATCATCTCCTGTGCTCTTCTGGTAATGATCTTCCTAATGCATCCCAGGATACCATTGGCCTTCTTGGCTACAAGTGAACACTGTTAGCCTGTGGACAGCTTATTGTCTATCAGGACCCCCAGGTCCTTCTCCACAGAGCTGCAGTTCTCAATACATGTCACTGTCCATTAATCCAGTCCACACTTCCTATGGTTGCCTTAGTAGATGTTGTGAGACAGTGTTGAAAACCTTGCTAAATTCAGGGTAGACAATATCCACTGCTCTCTCCTCGTCCATCCATGTAGTTGTTTCAATGTAGAAGGCAATTAGGTTAGTCAAGCATGATTTACCTTTAGCCAATCCACGCTGACTACTCCTGATCACCTTTTTGTCATCCATGTGGAAAGGCACGGCCTCCAGAATTGAGGCACTCTACCACCTTTCCAGGGACTGAGATGATGGGTAGTTCTCTGTGTACTCCTTGACCTTTATGAAAACTGGCATTTGCTTTCTTTCAGTCCTCAGGTACTCTCCTGATTGCTCTGACCTTTCAAAGTTGAATATGAGTGGGCTCACAGTGGTGTTTGCCAGCTCTCTCAGTGCCCATGAAGGTATCCTATCAGGGCCCATGGACTTGTGGATGTTGTTTGCCTAGGCTGAGAAAACTCAATTCAAACAGTTATTTTTTTGAGTTATTTAGTCTGATGTAAATTCATATGAGGCAATACTTCATTTGTATTAAAGAGGGAATCCATGTGTAAGATCCCAAGTCTTGAGCTACGAGCTCACCAAAGGAGTTTTACTTTAAAATATGCAAGGCTGCAACAATATCCACCCTTCAGATCATTAGAAAATCCTTTGGTTCTTTTAACACCTTAAGAGAGAGCACATGGGAGGATAGCTGCACACATTTTCCCAGGGGGTACTTTTACTGGTAAACTTCTAGAAAATAAGAGTACTTTGCAAAAGTACTTGATCTGGATGAGGGGATTGAGTCCACCATCAGCAAATTCGCAGATGATACCAAGCTGGGGGGTAGTGTCAATCTGCTGCAGGGTAGGAGGGCTCTGCAGAGGGGCCTGGACAGGATGGATAGATGGGTTGAATCCAATGGGATGAGGTTCAACAAAACCAAGTGACAGGTCCTGCACTTTGGCCACAACAACCCCATGCAGCACTACAGGCTGGGCACAGAGTGGCTGGAGAGCAGCCAGGCAGAAAGGGACCTGGGGATGCTGATTGACAGGAAGCTGAACATGAGCCAGCAGTGTGCCCAAGTGGCCAAGAAGGCCAAGGGCATCCTGGCCTGGATCAGGAACAGTGTGGCCAACAGGACCAGGGAAGGGATTCTACCCCTGTACTCAGAGCTGGTGAGGCCGCACCTCGAGTACTGTGTCCAGTTCTGGGCCCCTCAGTTCAGGAAGGATATTGAGGTGCTGGAGTGGGTCCAAAGAAGGGCAAGGCTTCCAAGGGCAAAGCTGGCAAAGGGACTCGAGCACAAATCCTATGAGGAGAGGCTGAGGGAGCTGGGGTTGTTTAGCCTGGAGAAGAGGAGGCTCAGGGGAGACCTCATCGCTCCCTACAACTACCCGAAAGGAGGTTGTAGCCAGGTGGGGGTCGGTCTCTTCTCCCAGGCAGCTATCAGTAAGACAAGAGGGCATGATCTTAAGCTCTGCCAGGGGAGGTTTAGGTTGGGCATTAGGAAGAAATTCTTTACAGAGAGCGTTATCAGACATTGGAATGGGCTGCCCAGGGTGCTGGTGGATTCACCATCCCTTAAGGTATTTAAGAAGAGACTGGATGTGGCACTGAGTGCCACGGTCTAATAGCCAAGTGGGTGTTAGGTCAAAGGTTGGACTAGATGACCTCAGAGGTCTTTTCCAACCTAGTTGATTCTGTGATTCTGTGAAGTTTGAAGGGTAACATACAACCAAAATAAAGCATTCCACAAAGTATTGACTTAGCACATGCTAACCCAGACCACTTAGCAAAATCTAGCCGATCTGGTCCTAAATTACTCAAAATATTAAGAAAAGGGATTAGGAGAAGAAGAAGTAAAGAGAGAGAAAAAGAGAAATATAGCTACCATTCCTAGATCCAGCATAGGTCATGCTACAAGAGTCTAAAAGATGAAAAGTTCGAACAAGCATGGGGAGCACATGTTGCTGTTTTTATGTGCTTTGTCCCTCCTGTGGCCACACCCCCTGCCCCCAGGTGGGACTTCCAGTGTGCCAGCCAATACGAGGCTGGGTCAGGGGCTCTGATGTGTGGTATGGGCAGTTCATCTGGGCTGTTTTTGACCAACAGCTTCTCTGGGTTTGCCCCAAGAGGCTTGCAGGGGCTGGCTTCTGGGACTGGGCACAGTCCGTGAAATTTGACCTATCACCTCCCTGCCCACACACACACTTGAGTTGGTCCAAGCCAATAATTTATATAATAATCCAGTGTCTCACACCATGCATCCCAAATCATTAGATATATGAATACATGAGATGCTGCAGTGTGTCCAGAGAAGAGCAATGAAGCTGGTGAAGGGGCTGGAACACAAATCTTATGAGTAGCGGCTGTGGGAGATAAGGGTGTTCAACTTGCAGAAAAGGAGGCTCAGGAGGGACCTTATTGCTCTCTATAACTATATGAAAGGGGGTTGGAGTGTGATGGGCGTCAGTCTCTTCTCCAAGGTAACAAGTAAAAGGACCAGAGGAATGGCCTCAAGTTGAGGGGAGGTTTAGATTGGATATTGGGAAAAATTCTTCACGCAGAGGGTTGCCAAGCATTGGAACAAGTTGCCCAGGGAAGTGGTTAAGTCATCACAGCTGGAGTTATTTTAAAAAAACATGTAGATGCGGCACTTAAGTACATGGTTTAATGGTTGACTTGACAGTGCTGGGTTAATGGTTGGACTGAATGATCGTAACGGTCTTTTCCATCCTAAAGGATTCTATGATTCTAATATACTTTTACTTGTAACAGGCATCAAGGGCCACCAAGATGCATAAGGATTTGCATGTAAAGTAAATATACAGGTGAAAAATATAACTTGGGAATCTTTTCACACAAAGAAACATTTGACCATGTCATTCCCTAGTTAGCAAAGCTGTGGTATTCTTGTATGCAAATGTGCTTAGGGGATAGAGATACACAACTGTAGGTCTTTGTACATAATTGCCAATGAAATTTGCTCTATAGAAAATGATGCAAATACAGACATCACAGAATATAATCCAGAGGAAATCTCAAATCTTTTAAGAATTCTTAGGAAAATGAGTGCATTTTAATAACTTCTTTGAAACCATGTAGGGTGATACATTGTAATGTATTACATTGATTTCCATTCTAAACTTCTGCATGAGTTCCTTGGGATGGTCACTCTGTATCCTTAGAGCATGTTGCAGGGTCTTCTGGGGAGTTCCAATAATTATATAGTTACATATAATCAGCATTTAACGCAGTAAATCTTGTAAATTAGAAATAGTCATTCTCTCAGACACATCCACCTTCTTTTTCCTGACTAAAAAAACCCCAAAACAACCAGGCTTTGTATGGCAGAATCATAGAAAAAGCAAATCAAATATTTGAAGACAGTCCCCTTAGAAAAGCACAGTATGTTAAATTTATGCAATGAATATTTTTAAGTTTTCTTAAAAAGGGCTTACTTCCTTCTGAATTCTGCATTTGTTATTGCAGTCAGTGCATGACTGACAAATCTGGGGAGATTCTGTGCAAGTCTATCTTGGACATGCACTGAGACATTTAGGCACAATATACAAACGACTTCTATTTTCAAAACAACAAAGATACTAAAGAAAAATGAACAGTGGGGTATAAACTTGGAAACCATATGTTTACAAGCCATGACTCGGTATTAGAATTCATATAGTTATTCACTACAATGCACATGCATAATGGAAGATGTGTCATGGGACACATGGCATGGCAGCAACATGTGTCTAAATGCCTTTTACTGATGTACTATTGTTTCTTATATTCAAAAGTAAATTGGCTGAGGATAGTTAGGCTTCTGTCAATTTACAAGGGGATTTCTCACCTGTCCAGGCTACATAAAGACAATCCCTTTTAATCCAGTTGGGGATTTCCCCTGTCTGGATACAATCAAACACAATTTTCTCCACTTCAGCATATTCTAAATCAGACTTTGCTCTCCCAATATTTCTGAAAAGCTTCGTTGGGAGGTGCATCCTATCATTAAAAAAAAAAAAGAGAGAGAAGTTTGTAGTGAACTTCCTGTAGAAAGAATAGGAAGAAAATATGTTGATGTTGTAGTACAAGGCTGCCAAATAAGCTTATTTCAGCATATTTTATAATACAATGGATGAAACTTGCATAAGCCAGTTAAGCTGAAATGTTTTTCTGCTTTTTATGGTGTTTCTAAGTTACTTGATTTTTTTGGTAATATAAATTATAATATAAATAAAATATTTATATTCTATTATATATTGTAAATATAATATATTTTATATATATTATATATATTTTATATTTATAATATTGATACCTTAAGGTCCATCTAGTTTTTTGATTTTTCTAATTTTTATAAGTTTTATAAGTAGTTATATAGCAGAAGTAGATTTAGAAGCAGCAGCATTTATTCCCTTACCCTTCGCACAGAAACTCTCCAACCCTCTTACCTCATTCTATGCTCCCCATATCAATTCTACCCCTGGATTCCATTAGAAATCTTTAGTCTCACTTTAAGATAGGCCTGTTCTGTTTGGAGAATGCTTGTATCTTAGCCTAAACCGCAGAACACTGTCAGAAACTGGATGACCATGTACCCTTTGTGCTCTGAAGAAGATGAAGATTGATGAAGAGGTGGTCTCAAAAGACCCCAGCCCCAATTCCCCAGGGGCGTGACTGAGGGTGGTCCAGGGCAAAAGCCATGGGGTGGAAACATCTGGGATTGGACAAGCAGTATTATAAATTGTAAACATGCGCGTGTCTTGTAACCTCATGCCTCAGAAGCACAAATTTTTCTTCTCTTTTTTCCTTATCTCACCTTCAAAACTCATTTGCCTCGGAGTTTTTCCTCCCTGAATTTTCTTTTAGGCATCATATAAATAAAAAATACTTTGATATTTTCCCCCCTATAACTGCACATGGAAATTATAATAGCATCCTTCAAAATGTACTTTCTCTTTGTGAAAATAGATTATTTTTCTATGTTATTTAATTATTTTTCTATATTTTTACTATCTTTGTTTTATTCACTATTCAGTATACCTTCTGTCATCCATAGGCTCATTTCCATAAAGTACTTCATAGGACAAAATGTCAGCCTGAGCTTTATTAAAGGCTTCTTTCCGATCAGCTCTTTTATCGTCATTCTTCCTGATAAGCTGACTGACACATTGTTGTGCCCCAGGAACATCACAATATATGGTGTGAACCTACCATGGATCAAAAATTAGATCACATTTCCTGTAAAGCTGGTGCATCTGCTTGTAATTCATGCAGTTCACATAACTGAAAGGATAGAAAAACACATTTTTTTTCCATGATGCCATTCTCATGCTTCACTAATTTATCTTTTAAAATAACGCCAATTAATGAGTGTTCAAGTTGGTCTAATCAGTTTTCTGTAGGCTGACTTTCAATGGGTACTTATGGTTCTTTAATGCCATGTGTTATTCCTAAAATCTAGCCTGCAAATCAATGTACACTAATGTACATTTTGCAATTTTTAGGATTATAACAATAATAAACAAAACAGCATTTTTTCCTTACTGAACTGTATAGAAAACCCATCGAATAAAGTTTCATCTTTGCAGAAATTGGGTTCTTACCTTCTTGACAAGAGATTTCAAGAAAACTAGCATTGTCATTTGAGGTTTCATTGCCTTGTTAAATCTTCTTTCACTTTGCAGGAGCTCAGTGACTTCCCTCTCTCGTTTCTGCAAAGATCCTTGTATCTTTTTAAGGATAGTGTGTCCCTGCCAAAAATATCCCTTTTCCATTGACCATTCAGTCTTCTCTTCTTCATTAGCTATCTGGGGGCAACAAAGATAACTCCTATACACTAAGCCAGGATCTAGATTTTCACTGTTTTCATATGAAATTACAAAGATTTTAATGAGCAAGGTAGAGCAAAAATGGAGAAAACAAAAGAAATATTGAATATAAAGGTCTGTTTGGTTCCAACATTCAGAATATAATTTTTATAATTCAAAGAAGTGGATATTTAAAAGATTTTTGTGGAAAGTTTTCTGCTATCAAATATTATAATGAGAACAGAACACTATCAATGATTCCTGAACCAATGAATTGATTTCATTACTGTGATATTTTAGTCATTCATCAAAAATTTATCATTCTCCAGCTATGTATATATTTGCACACAATTTTTACTATCACTTAGTCCCATGGTTTACTTCAGCTTTTGCTATAGTCATCCTGATTGCCTTTGAAATACCTGCAATAATCCCATAAACAACAAGTAACATTTCCATTTTTGTGCTCACTTGTTCTGCTTTTAATAGTAAAACCTCTGACACATATGATTTTTCTCCTTCTGCCTTTTCAGACTTTGGCTGAAGAATTTTTATCTGGAAACTCATGAGGTCATGCAATCTTTCCACATGTAGACTGATGTTGTGTAGTTCTTGCAAAGCTGCATTAAAAACAAGAGAAAACTAGGTAGGAACAACTTAAGCATTTCTAATCTTCATTTTCCACAATATTGTTTATGCCAAATGATCTCCCTTTAGAAGTCAAGAATTTGTCATGAACTAATATTTTTTTAGTACTCAATAATTCATTTCAATTTATTAAAACTCAAAGAATTATAAAGGGGTCATGCTTTATTGGATTTTAAACTTCTAAAGGGAAGACTTTAAGTGCTGAAATAAACCTAGTGAGAAATGATGCTGACTGTAATAAGACAGTTGTGCTAAGGAGTTTGGATTCATGACAGATATTATTTGTAGCTTCAATATTGTTTTATTACTCCATCTGCACACACAGTATTGCAATGGAAGGGCTTATATTGACTTCAGTTCGCAAGCAGCAAAAAGTAAACAGGAAAGAAATCAAGAAACTACATCTGAAATATAAAACTCACTCAGTGCATGTTGGGTATAAAGATAATCTAGGTTTTTACTCAAACTTTGTAGAATCCAGACCTGCAAGGCAAGCAAAGAAGATAGCAGGAAATCAGTGCTCTACCATTTTTCATTATATTTCCTTGGGGAGAATAGTCAACAATAAGAAAATAATGCTGTTGCTACTTATAGGTACAACGTACAGAAATGGGCTATTGAGCAGTAATTGGCTCTTATTTGAAAAGAAAATATTGAAATAAACCAGAGATTGCTCAGACTCCAGTGTTTTCACAAGCGCCTGAACCAAGTTGTCCCACGCTTATACTTTCTAAAGCATTTGTCCATGTTACTGGAATAATAATGGAGACAAAAATGATAGATACTCCTGAAACAGTTGAATAACAAAAGCTTTTGGGAGAATTTCTAAGACTGCCCTGAAGAAAAAGTTGTGTGCACCAAATCTTACCAGCATTATTTGGCCTAATAAAAAGTATTCCTTCTTCCTACAAGCCTCAGAATATTGTATCCTCATCAGTTCTTTCTCTTTATTGTAATACTTCTGCTACATTTCCTTGATATGTAATGATTAGGTCAATTGACTTTTAAACCCCATGATTTTTCACAGTTCATCAATAAGGCCCAGTAGACATGCGTCAAAGTGCTTGAAAAGTAAAAAAACACTTTAATTTTAAGTACTGTTGCCACGCAAAACTAAAACAGAAGGTGGAGCCACATTGTTTGAAAAAGGAACCTAAAAACTTGCCTGAGATCTTCACTCAGAAATCCTACAGAAATCTACATTCAGTTTCACAAATGCAAAAGGGAATCTGGCTCACAGACTCACTGCCCCCACCACTCCCCACCACAAAGTTGGTTAGGATCTCCCTGAATATGGGTCTTGGAGCAGTATCATGAAAATTGGTAACAAAGTGATGATGATGATTTGCAAAATTGCAGGAAGACTTGACCATATTGGACAGAATAGAACACTAGGCAGAAAACAACAAATATTAGACCATGATCACAGATGCTATCAATGAAAAAAAAAATTCTTTTTTTACACCTAGGAAGTCATCTCAAATCTTTGGTAAACTGAAGTCGCATTATTACAGAAAAATTTGGAAAACCTGAGGAACTTTAGGTAGTTTTCCATGGGAACTACCAAATGAGGTAGTATTGCTGTTATGTCAGCCAGGTGAAATGCAGTATTGCAATAGCTTAGGTGGTGACATGTTGATTTTTAATGCTAATTGCTAAATAAAAAAGAATGAATGTGCTGTACTGTGATCTAAGAAATCTTCAAAAAGACATAAAATGTGAAATGAGAGAAAAAATGACAGTCTAGTAGTTTTTAGTGGAAAGAATAATATAGTAAGACAAAAAGGCGTATGTCATCTTCATTGCTGTCTAAAGGGCAAAAAACTAGATGGACTCCCTGAAAAGAAGAAGGCAAGTGCACAGCAATTCAGTCTTGGCTGATTCAGATGTAGATATCTAAAGGCAGACAGGCAGGCAAACAGCACACACTGGATGCAGTAAAAAGAACACTGTCGAACACCAAAAAGAAAACACAAACTTGCTTTGTTCACCTTTTCTTTTTCCCAGTTCTCAGTTTGTTGTTTCATTTGGTGAAGAAGATCTTCATTCTCTTGGATCAGTTGCCTGTTTCTTTCTCTCAGGCTCTGAAGACATTAAAATAAGGCAAAATTTTAACACCTTTTTCAGAAAGGCCTAAAATTTGAGGGGTTTTTGTTCCATACACGCATTGAAAAGTCATAACATTTGGCCCAGGCTGCTAAGACCTGGAGATCTCACACAAATAATAATTAAAATTCCCAACCACATGTGACCAGAGGTCTGATTCTAAAGACTCTCTCTAAAGACTTGAACACTCTGAACTTTTTCCTGTAGCAGAACAGAATGAGGAACTGGATAAACTTTAATACCTGTTTCACCAGAAAAGCAGCACACATCATATATATTCTAGAATGAATTCACATTTATTTGCATGAAAACAAAGCTATTTCCAAGTGCATAAGGACAGTTAGGCCAAGTTATGAAAACTGGTTTGAAGGTGTACTGTGCAAGGCTTTACTAATCTCCAGAAGGAGACAGACATAGTTTTGTATTGATTTCACAGACTGTGTGTCTTCATTTGACTGTTAGTCCAGAAGAAGAAAGCAACCTCTGTAAGTACCCGCCAGGCTTATCCCAGTGTAAAAATTGTAATGCTGGGTTACCTTAACTGTATCTTCCCAATGTGTGTTGCTCTTGTTCATCAGTTCTTGGTAAGCTTCTAACTGGGATTTCAGACACCTCATTTTCTCTCCATAATGTTTCTTTATAGTAGTTAAAATCTGCTCCTGTATTACAAAATATTATTGAGAAAATGAATAGTTATGAGAGCAGAAAGCCAGGCATGATTTAAAAAATAGTTTCCACAAGAGCTAACGTTTGATTCTCTTTATTCAATGTCTTTTATTTTCTGCAAACATTTCTTATTTATCACAGGAGGTTTGTACTTTCATTTGCTGCAGACTTTGAACAACAATTACTGTTAAATTAATTTATCTTTTATGTATCTTTCTGCAGAAGTAAAACCCAAAGCCTTTCTGAGAGCAGACCAGAATGAAGTCATTCCAAGCATAGCTAAGCAATTTTAAAGAAAGTAAACTTAGCTCAGAAAACAAAAGCTTGGAAGTAGCATAAAAAAAATAAATACAGCAACAAAAATGAAAGAGTTTCTATGAAGAAAGATCATTACAGTCCCTGTGTTTGCATCAGTGCCCAGAAGGCAATTGTCTCCTGTTATGCGTCTGTGTCCTTCCTGATTCTCTTTCTCGTCCCTGAGCGATCTGGAGTCAGTTGAAAGTGTAAGATGGGACTGTGCCAGGATTACGTTCCTACTGAAGCACAGAAATGGATTTACACAGGTATTACAATTCTTCTGCATTCCCTATGAAAGGGTATCTAGCCTTTCTACACTACATACAGGAAACTCTCAAGTTCAGTTGACAATCTGAAGAGTTTGTTCGCTTCCCCTTGGAGAGTCTAGAGGAATTTCCAAATCTCTGCTGTCTATGCACCAAGAATAAACTTTAATTATGTGGAAAACATACACCTTCATAGGAACTAAGTGCCTATTTTACTCTAGATCAGAAAAGGAGAATGATGTGACAAATAGAAAGATAGAGCAGTAGCTGCAAGAAAAGATTCCAGAACAGTGTAGCCCAAAATGATGTGGATAATTTCATCTTTTGGGAGAAATATTGACTAATGGAATGCAGAAATGCTTTCACTAAGTAAAGTGAGGCATTTGGAGTTATGGTCACAGGAATGACACCTCTGGATCCTCATTGTGACCTTTCAGGGTTTACAGGTGAAGAGAGTCTAATACTCTGTAAGCTATATTAACAAAACACTGTAAGGCTAAAGCAAAGTAGACGAAAGAGTACCACAGAAGAAAAAGCATAAAGGCAATACAGTTCAGCACCATCCTTTACAATACAGTCATTTTTGAGGCATAGCCTCAAAATGTTCTAATGTAAATGTTCTAATCATGGTGTCAGTAATGAAAAGAATGTGTAATTTATGAGAAAATTCTAGTAACAAATGAAGTTTAGAAAAATCTCTGTCATTGTGCCAGGTAAAAAGTAAAATCAGACTTCACAAAATTGTAAGATCAAATACATTTCAAGATATACTGACATTGTTTACAGACACTTAGAAGGGTAGGTGTATAGAGATGTAATTCTGAATGAAGTAGATTTTATCCTTCTGTATCATTTTGATGGTAAAACACAACAGTGATAATGCTCCAGAATACTTACATGTTTTTCTTTCCTTATATTGTCTAGTTTTCTGATTATTTTCATGTGTTTGTTTTTCATTTGCTGCATGTCTTTTACAATCTGTAGAGGATGAAGGAAATGATCAATTCAGAGCACTAGCAATGCTAGTTATAATGAACCATCAAACAACTTTGAGGTACATTTCTCGAAATGACAGATACAGTACAGCGAAGAGTTTGATCTTAAAAACAGATAAATGACTGCAGGCCAAAGCTTTCAGGCTTCAATAACTAGAAAATATGTTATGCTATTGAACAAAAATCTGTAGATGACTTGAAATGGAATTTCTCTACCGGTCCTAATATGCCATCTCCACTTCTTCCTTTTTACTGTAGTGATCTAAATGGAATATGGAAGACACAGTCATTACGATTTTTCTAAGGCTTTTGCAAAAGCTTCAGTCTGTGAAGTTTATTGCTGGAAAAAAAGGGACACAATGGAGAAGATTGCATTTTTGCATTTAAGAGTCAGGTAATGGAGTGTAGGGTTTTTTTTTACCTTGATGATATACGATGTAGCCAAGTTGTAGGGAATATACAGCACTTCTTTGGTTGTACATTCCTTCAGCTCAGTTGCTTTGTGATCAGCATCAGAACAATCTCCGAACATAGTAACATGATCTATTGCATAAAAAAGTTTACTTTATCAACTAAAATGCACAGCAGCTTCAGATGAACATTTAATTTTTTTTTTATTAGAGGCATCAAGTATAGTTTTAAATCTTTGGGTTTCCTCTTGTTTTGGTGTTTTTTGGTGTTTTTTTTTTTTTTTTCTGATAACAAATAAAATAGACTTTTGGAAAGAGAATTATAGCAACTCTTACTTGTCAACTTTGATCTCTGGACACCATCACACATATTTATGTAGTTTGACAATTACTTGTCCCTCACTACTGTGATATTTATTACTTACATAAATTCATGTCATTACAATTAAAAAAAAAATCATGCAGAAACATGTTGCCTCTTAAGAAACTAGTTTTTATCAGAGTTAAGAAGACACTTTAAATCCTTATAAAACTACAGGTTATTTGACAGACCCTGTTTATAACAGTGTATGATATAAATTCTAATCTTTTTTCTTAATTGTCCTTTTTGTTAAATAAAAACATAAAATTACTTCCCACTCCTTACTCCCCCACCCTCTTGAGATTTCTCTGGCTTAACACAGTAGCTGACTTCCTATTGGAAAATTACTTTGAGTATCATAATCCTCAAGCAACTATCATAATTAACTAACAAGTATATAAGGTCAAAAAAGACTGATCTAATTACTTAGATACCTAGAATAGTGACTTGTATATATCTACACTTAGGAACTTCATTTGAAAATCCAAGTTACGCAACTACATTCAATTAAAGCTCACATACAAGAAAAAAAAAAGAACAATCCTCCTAATTTTTTTAATGTATCACATGTTCCAGAAAGCAACAATAATACTTGATAGGTAAATATACCTTTTTCCTGAGTTCTGTTTTCACTCCATCCAATCAGGGAATTCAGAAATGACCACTTGTTTATATTCATTCCAAGCTTGTGCAACCATGAGTTTCCCCCTCCATCTGTTAACAAAATTCAGGTCCTAAAATCTTCTTAAGGCCATTGAAATTTTTGCACTAATTCTCTTCAGACCAAAAGTTTTTTAAATTATTAAAAGAGTTACAAAAGTATGAAATTGGAAAGTCACTGAGAGAGCTGCAAGCATAAGAAGGATTTAATACTTGTGTGACTCTTGAATGGTTCCACCTGATCTGAAAACAGAGAGGCAATTAATCTAAAGGCTATATTCCGGACCTTGTTTCTCATTTTCTGTGAAAATGTTTTCAAAATGTATTTTGAAAAACTACAAAATAAACTGGATTTTGCCCAATATCCTGAAAAACATGTGTATGAGGGTGTGTGTGTGCGGGGTTGTTTGTGTTGCTATATGAGGTACGTCTCACCCTGGTTTATTTATGAGCTCTCCGGATGCATAAAACACTCCTGCTGAGAGAAAACAAAGCCACAACACTTTCAAGTGTTCTGTTATGAAAGAGAAAACAGTGCCTGAAAGAAGTCTTCTGACTCTTTGAATTGGTCAAAACAATTATCAGAAATTCAGAGTTTTTGTCCACTGGGGAAATCCAGATGTTCCAAATCCTGAGTTCCTAAAGCAATACTCATTTACTTACATAGTGCAATGATTTTATATAACAAAATATCTGTCTCTTCACATTGCTTTTACTAGATATATTGTAGAAGGATGAACTGTTTTAAAATACAATCTGTCCAGCTACTAGATGGAGTCACCAGATCCTATTCAGATACAGACAAAAAAGTCTTGTTTTTCAAAATCCAGTTCTAATGATTTATAAAATACATAACTAAACAAATTCTGAATTCATTATTTTCATCACTATACATTACATATGTGTATAAATATATCAACTTTTGTTCTGTGAATTATGTCATTGAAAGACACATATTAACTTCTATATAGAACAGCTACTTCTTAAAAGACTTGACCTCTCACATCTACATCCTTTTGGTTCACATTTTGCTTTCTTTCTGCCGCCTTGGAGACTCTTACTAGCCTTCCACTTCACATAATCCTACTTTAGGCAAAAGTAGCCATTAGTCCAAGAGTGTAGAGTCTATCCTTCCCTTTAGGATAAAGATTAATTTCAAACCCTTAATGGAAATCAAAATATAGACTTCATTTCCAACTAGAAAAAATGTATTACTACACCATCTACTGAAATAACGACAAAGTTTGTCTCCAAATGATACAGACCAGTGGGAAGAAAAATATTTGAAACTCCTACCAGTTAATTCATGAATGCTAAAAATCAATCTACATGCCTTCTGTTTAACTTTGCATCTTGAAGAGCATGTCACTCTAAAAACTACTGAACATACCTTTTTACACCATTCCTGTGAGTTAACCCTTACAGAACTCTCTGGTATGGCAGGAACAAGACATCTGTAACAGTTCTTTCTGTTTCTTTTCAATGCCATAATTCAGACTGCTCCAAAAAGGCACTCTGAGTACCACAGCTCCTTGCAGTCTAATTCCTTTAGAATGTAAGGCTCCTCAAACCAGAGGTCTCTCTTTTCTCAGATTACAACTAGAATGCAAGCATCTGGTACAGACTAGGCGGCCACATTATTGCTTCTGAATAGTTTCAACTGTATTTTTTGACAGTTTTTAGAGAGGTTGCACATTTTGTTTTAGAAGTTACAGGTATAGCACATGTAACAATTAAGTTCTGTTCTGATGCCTTTAGTTTTAGCATGTACAAAGCCAATATGCATCTCTTGTGCATGAGAAGTTTGATGATCACATCCATAAGTTGAACCATGACAGGAATATTCCTACTTAGTCTATACTGTCGCTCATGTGTATTCAGGCTATATTAGCACTGTGTACTATAATGATTATGCAGCTCTGCTTCTGTGACACTACCATACACATCTTTTGTGGAAAACAGTGAAGTACAATCTCATTCTAAGCATCTGAGGCATAAACTACTACTTGCCCTCTTCAGGTGTATCTTCCACTGTAACACTTTTAATCACACATGAAGGATGTTCCCGTATGTCCTCTGAGTAATCAATAACGCTGCCCGGTAGAAGAACAAATGAGTGAATGTTGGTCTGTGGTTTAGCTTCAGGATCAATTTTTGCTGAGTCTTCAGAGGCTTGCCAGTCTGAAGGGTTAACTCTTTGCACCAATGCTTCTGGAAAAACAAGCAGTATAATTGTTTTTAATAAGATACTAGACAGGAAAAATTGAGAGTCTTAAGAACAAATATCATGAAACAAGACCAGATTTGTAAGATCACACCCAAAAATGGAAACTGACAGCCAATTTAATTAAACCTGGGTGAGTTTCTTAGAAATTGATAAGAGCAAACTTTTAATTTTGGGTCTTTTCTTTCTGTTTTGAAATGTAACATTATTTGGTGATTTATTCTTGGTTTGACTGTCAGATTTAGCTGAATAACAAGCACATCAAGGTCCGTGAAATAAAATTACCAGAATTCTCCACCTATCCCGAATAAAACCTGCCAACTCTCCTGCAGCTTCCACCCAAAAGCACATCTCAAACACTTTCCTCAATGCATAACTCTTGGCCAACTTTTGCCTCTGGATATTTTAAAGATATTTGTTTTCTTGTTCTGATCGATTTCTGTCTCCTCGAAAAAAGGTTTTCCTTTTGCTGAGTTTCAAATAAATCAAAAATATTTACTAGTGAAAAGCCTTCCCTTTTTTTTTTTTTAATGCCTTGCCAATCTCATAGGTTCTATAGAGAAATATGCTGCTTTTCTAGCTCTTCATGGTGTATATGGCACAGCCGGGAAGAAAACGAATGCTTGATTTGGAACATGAATTACAAATGATAGGTTTTTTGGGAAGCAATCAGAGCCCATGTGCAGGAATTAAAATGTAGGTGACTATAATTTCAGCAACAGAACACATGTTATTACAGAATTTCCAGCTATCTGGCTAGGGGTCTCAGCATTGGTACTTGCTCACTTCCTGTCAACATTGCACAAAATGTCCTGAAACCATTAAAAACTTGGCTTGTGTTCATTGAAAAGGCCTGTAAATTACACTTCCAGAAGTAACAGTGGTCATAAATAATTATGATGATAGCAAAGTAAAAATGAACATAGACTGGTTGAAGTTGTGTATAGCTAATGAAACTGACAAAATGTTTTCATATGGCAGATTGAAAAATGCAGCTCAGAAATGGAATATAGCAAAGATCAAGATGCTTTAACTAATCCTTCCCTCCCACCACCACCGGAATTGTGAACTTTTTTTATGTTTCCCCCATCAATTTAGTAAGTAACACTAGCCAAATAAACAGCACAAGAGTATTTTCCTATATTTCTATACTAGCTTCTGCTGTGTTTTAACCCTGTCTGGCAGCTCAGCCCCACACAGCTGCTTGCTCACTCCCCCACAGTGATGGGTGAGAAAATCAGAAGGATAAAAGCAAGAAAACTCATGGGTTGAGTTAAAGAAAGCTTGGTAGGTAAAGCAAAGCTGTACGTGCAAGCAAAACAAAATAGGGAATTAATTCACTACTTCCAATTGGTAGGTCGATGTTTAGTCATCTACAGTAAAAAAACAGGGCTCCATCATGTTAATTGTTACTTAAAAGACAAATGACTTAATTCTAAAAGTCTTTTCTTCTTTCTCTTTTCTCTAAACTTTTATTGCTGTGCTCAATATTGTATGGCGCGTGACACTCCCTTCGACGCTGTCTTGATTTAGGAATAGTGCTCCACAATTCAGTGCCCCCACTGAAACTCTCCCAAATCACATGCCACTCTCTCACTGCCCCTTCCCCTCCCTCTTTCTGCTGTGGTGGTATGGAGTTGAGAATTGGAAGCACAAAAGGTGAAGGTCACGGGTTGAGATAAGAACAATTTACCAAAAACAACAATGAAATAAGAAAATGAACAGCAATAATTTTAAAAACATAAGTATACAAAAGACAGTGATTCATATGCAAAAATGCTAACTGTGGGCCCCAACAGTAGGGGACAGCTCCCACATTTTCTTCACCAGATGGAGTTGTTTCTTCCTGTAGGAGAGAGAGTTCCTTTCTCTTGACCCCAGAAATGATGTGGCCAGAATCAGGACAGACAGTTGGGGTCAACTCTTTGTGTACTGTCTGCTCACTAGTGGGGTAATGTGATGAGCAGAAAAGGCCTGGATGCTGTGTAAGCACTGCTCACCACTAACACTGTGAGTTATCAACAGTGTTTTGATCTCAAATCAAAAATACCATAAAGGTTGCTCCGAAGAAAATTAACTCTATCCCAGCCAAATCAGTGGAGCTTCCAAGTAGCCTGAAAGGTAGGTGATATTAGGCTGGTAGGTGAGTGAAAATTCATTGAAGCTAGAAGGATAACAATGGTTTTCATCCAAGTTAAATGTAATAAGCTTTTAAACCTATGCAGTAAGAAAGTAGAAATATAAAAACTCTGTGTAGAAAACAAACTGCTATAGGTTCTTGTGCTGAATACAGGTTTTGATGAAGGCTACATACAAATACAATATTGTTTGATAGTACTCACTATAAGAGAGAGAGAGACTAAGAAACATTGTGACACACACAGAAGCACCATTGGAAGAGCGAAGGAAGCTTCAGATATATATTTATAAATACATTTTAAGCTAAGATTAAAGATGAGCAGATTTTGAGTATAGCATTTACTGTAGTAAGAGGCTTGTATCTGTAAAGAGAAAACCATCACCTGCTGGATTCTACTGTAGTCAGGATACAAACAAGGATTTTTCTCTTTTTAAAAAAAAAATTTTTTTTAATAAAAAAGATTACACTATAAATTTCCCTAAGCTATCATCATCTTCATTTCTGTATATCAAATAACAGTGATTTAGAAGAAAAGGACTAAACCTAAGAAGTTTTGATGATCTTTCATTCATACAATGTGACTGAGTCGGGAAGTCCTTCCTTTATGTCCAGGCTAACTGGTCTGCAGTCTAATGGAAGTAATTCCCAGAAAATTTCATCTTGTGATCAGAACTCAGTTTAAAT